TGTTCTGAAGCTGGCATGGAAAAAGAGGAAGTGGGAAATAATTTTTGGTCACAATCCGTGCAGATTGCTGGAAAGTCTGACCACCCAAATTTTATGTTGATTTCTGTGGGTGATCGGGGAAATGACATGGTGCTCATGAGCTGATCAGATGTCTGGGAAATCAGGTTCCCCTGGAAATGCCCCGAAAATGACCAAAGAGTCCCTCTGTTTTGAGCATCCACCCCAGGAGAAAATCAAACGTTGGCATTCAATCCACAACGCCAAACACTGAATCGTACCATCCCTGGCTTAAAAATGCAGCTTGAAAGAAGGGGTTGTGACCAGCCATAAAGTTGGAAGCATTAGCTGCTCAGATGTACCCCCAAAGACCAGCAGGCATTGGATTTCATACAGAACAGGTGTTGCTTCCCCTTCGCAACCCCGTCGTCTGCAGCTCCCACATAATGTTCCAGAGAGCCACTGTGACAGAGTGGTTAAGAGGTTAATTGTCAAAACTGTGCTTTGCTGGGCAGTGTAGCCAGTGAATGGGGTTCACGGAAAGGACATTCGGACGCCCCCTCTTTTGTGGCCAAATGTCCCCGCCCTGTTTGGACTTCATTTGGCGGCGTGGTCGTCCGGGACGGCTGAGGCTGCATTTGGCTTGGTTCCGGTGTGGCTCTGGAGGGGCTGGAAATGGCTGCTCTCGTTCCAAGACTGGCTTGGCACACGCAGTGGCCGGGATCAGTCATGGGTTGAGCCTTGGGCTGTTGCAGGAAGATGGGCCATCGTGTTGTCTGGACCCAGCTGCTTTAGCAAATCATGGTTTGTTGCTTTGTTTCAAACAAAGCCTGAAGAAGACTCATGGTTTATTGTTGGGTTGTGAACCCTGGTCTGCTGATCATAATTTGATTGTAACTGGATCCTGAGAACCGGTGTGGTGTAGTGGTTAAGAGTGCAGGACTGGGACTCAGGCGACCCGGGTTCTGGTCCCTGCTCAGCCATGGAGCCATCTGGGTGACTTTGGGCCAGTCACAGACTCTCACCCCAGCCTACCTCACAGGGTTGCTGTGAGGATAAGAGTGAGAGTAGGAAGAGAATTATAGCCCTAACCCTCAAGTTCTTTAAAAGCAAAGGTGAGCTCTGAATCTAATGAAAGAGAGAGAGAGAGAGATACCCCATGAAGTCAAAGCAGGGAGCCTGTAGCCCTCCACATATTCTCAGAGTCCACTTCCCATCAGCCCCAGGCAGCATATCCAGCTGTTGGGTTGTGTGCTGGGCACTTTAGCCCTGCACATCTGGCTCAGCATCTGTGTCCTGTACATATGATGGGAACAACCAGATGCTTCTTCCCTTGATCCGAACAGAAAGGGTGGAACTTGTTGAGAATAATTCTAGCTGTATAACCAGGAGTATTTCTCTCCCTCCCAGTGTTCAGCACTTTCTAAACTCAACGCAGAAGTTGCCTGCATTGCAGTCCATGATGAAAACATCTTCGTTGTTGGGACAGAGAAGGGGAAGCTCTTCCTGAACGCGAGGAAAGAGGTCCAGGCGGACTTCAAGAAATTCTGCAGTAAGTCTTTGGTTCTTCCCTTCCCGCAAGACTAGGGCTCCGCGAAAAGGACAGCACAGTGTCAGAGCCAGCTGAAGGATCCGCTCAAGGCCAACCCGGACGGAAGGGCTACAGATCCATTTCTTCACCATTCCGTCTTGTAGACCGTGTGGGCGCAGGTCAAACTTGCTGGATCTTTTTTGGTGTTCCCTTCCGTTACCCAGAAACCTGAGGTCCGCCAACCAGAGCCAGATGCAGACGGATGCTTTGGAGGCAGACCTACCCTAAGAATGAAGGAGGGGCCACTGCTCAGTGTCTGAGCAGCCCCCACGTTGATTTTGGGTTGGTCAGCCATGTTTGATCTTGGTTTAACTTGGGGTTCTTTAATCCACAAACAACCCCACATGCCTGAGTTCAGAAGTCATGGACACAGCCCATGATTGCCACGTTCATGGATGGTTACACAAAAGCAGGAGTGGCTTGCAGGTAGGATGCGTCCCTGCCATTGCTGGGTTGAATCAGTCCACAGTCGCTGCCCTCAGATGGGACTGAGGGGCTTGGAAGCAAACGTTTCCAAGTCGGAGCCCCCAACGCCTCCACCCAGTGGTGGCAACAGGACTGAGCAGGGCCATATTCACAGTGTGCCTTTACTTACGAGGAGGCCTTATCCCTCAGCTGGACAACTCTGCATCTAGCAATCAGATCTGTGTCTGACTCCCTTGTCATGGTCAGATCCCTTCCTCGTGAGGTTTGAGCTCGATGGCAGCCTTTTCCTCTGTAAGGGTGCGGACCCGATTGTGTTGGTCCGCCCTTGGAGCCGGATGGATTCCTGAAGGCTCTGGGGGATTTTCCAGTTGATAAAGCTGGCGCTCCTGTTGATGCTCTGGTTGAACTGTGGAATGGGGAGATGACCAGGACTATCGACACGATCGCTCCTCAGCATCCTCTCCTGCCCAGCAGAGCCCGTCCATCCCCCTGGATACACCTGAATTACGGGCGATGAAGTGGGTTGGGAGATGACTAGAGCGTAGGTGGGGGAAATCACGGGATGAATCTGACCAAACACGCCTATGAGCCCATTATCAGGCCTATGCTGTGGCAGTGAGGGCGGCGAAGAAGAAATTCTTCTCCGCTTCCATTGCCTCCTCCCAGTGCTGTCCAGCAGAACTTTTTCAGGTGGTACAGGGGCTAGTACATCCTGGCCCTAAGAAAGATCCTGTACCACCTTTGATGGCCCGCTGTGACAACTTTGCCTAGCACTTTAAGGAGAAAATCACTCAGATTCGTCATGAGCTGGACTCCACAAGTGATTCAGATCCTTTAGGGGAGACGCCAATGACTCCATCTGGTCAGGTATTGATGAATTTCAGTTACTGCGGCCCGATGTTGTGGACAAGGTGCTTGGACAAGTACATCCTACCACCTGCTTACTCGACCCTTGCCCTTCCTGGCTGCTGACCAAAGCCAAACATGGGATTGTTTCCTGGATCCTGGTGGTTATTAACACCTCTCTGAGGGACAGCTAGGTGCCCACTCCTTTAAAGGAGGTGGTGATCAGGCCTGTCCTAAAGAAGGCGTCTCTGGATCCAGAGATGGCCGCCAGTTATAGACCAGTGGCCAACATCCCGTTTTTGGGCAAGGTGTTGTAACGGGTGGTGGTGGGACAACTCCAAGCACTCTTGGATGAGACTGATTATCTGGACCCAATTCAGCCCGGCTTCAGACCCGGGTACGGTACTGAATCTGCCTTGGTCGCCCTCTACGATGACCTGTGCAGGGAGAAGGACAGGGGGAGTGCGTTCCTGTTGGTTCTTCTGGACCTCTCAGCGGCTTTCGATACCATCGACCATGGTATCCTTCTGGATAGGCTAGCGGGATTGGGGGTCGGAGGCACCACGTGGCAGTGGTTCAGCTCCTATCTCAACGGCCGATTTCAGAAGGTGGTGCTGGGGGACTATGGCTCTGCGTCATGGCAACTATGCCATGGAGTTCCTCAGGGGTCCATCTTGTCCCCCTTGCTATTCAACATCTACATGAAACCGCTGGGAGAGGTCATCAGGAGGTGTGGGCTGCGGAATCACCAGTACGCTGATGATACCCAGCTCTACCTCTCGTTTTCCACCAATCCAGGTGAGGCAGTGGCTGTGCTGAACCAGCGCCTGGCCGAGGTAATGGGCTGGATGAGGGCCAATAAACTGAAACTCAATCCAGATAAGACGGAGGTCCTGTTGGTGGGTGATTCGAGCTCCTGGGTAGGTGACTTGGGCCTTGCCCTGGATGGGGTTGCACTCCCTCTAAAGGACAGGGTCCGCAGCTTGGGAGTGCTCCTCGACCCGGAGCTGTCCTTGGAAGCTCAGGTGACAGCGGTGGCGAGGAGCACTTTCCTTCAGCTAATCCATCAGCTGCATCCCTACCTGGAATACGACTGCCTGGCGACAGTGACACACGCACTGGTGACTTCCCGCCTTGACTTCTGTAACGCGCTTTACATGGGGCTGCCCTTGAAGATGGTCCAGATACTTCAGATGGTGCAAAACAGAGCTGCCAGGTTGCTGATGGGGACTGGGTGTTATTCTCATATAACCCCAGTCCTCTGTCAGCTCCACTGGCTTCCCATCGAAGTCCGGGCTCAATTCAAGGTGCTGGTTATTACCTATAAAGCCCTAAACGGCTTGGGACCAGGATACCTAAAGGAACGCCTTCTTCCCTATTTGCCCTCCTGCCCCCTGAGATCAGCAGCAGAGGTGGTCCTCCGGGAACCCTCCATGAAAGACGTTAGGAGACCGAGCACCCGGAGGAGGGCCTTCTCTGCAGTGGCGCCCCCACTATGGAATGCGCTCCCCAGAGAGGTCCGCCTGGCGCCGTCATTATATGTTTTTTGGTGCCAGGTTAAGACCTTTTTATTTAATCAATATTTTAATAAGCTTCAATATTGAATGCTATCATATTTTAATTGCAGCCAGAGTGGGTCATTAATTTATTTATGTTCTGTTAGAAATTTGTATTTTATTTGTGTAAGCCGTCCTGAGGCTCTTGCAAAAGACGGCATACAAATATCCTAAATAAATTTTTAAAAAATCAGCCAAGCCTTGACTTCCAGATGCCTGCACTCTGAAGAGTGAGGTAGCTACTCAGCATCTGTCCTGAGACCAAAGGATTGTGGGAAGAAGGGCTGGCTGTGTTGTCGGGATCAGCAGCCACCTCCTGTGGGCTCAGGAACCCCCCGATCTGGCCCAGATACCAGCCTTCCCTCTGTGGCATTTGACTGGAGAGGGTGCCGGCCATCCCAGAAAGAGAATCCCGCAGACGCTGCTGGAAGAAGCTGCATGTCTGGAAAAGCACCTTTGGGTGCATCCACACCGGTGCATCTCCGGCCGCCCCCACACCCTGGGGGCTGAACTGCCACCTGCAGTACATCCACAGCTCCCCACATGTGGGCCAAGAGCCCCGACTGGGCCTGAGCTGGGTGAAAATGCCAAAAAACCAAGGCTGTTTCCTTACGAACCAGAGGTTTTCCGTGCGAGAGAAAGCGTGGGCCTCGCTGCACACTTGATGCCAT